AAGAAAAGATAACTGGGATGCAGCTATGTTGGGTAAATCATGCACTAAATTTGTCAAAAGTCCTGGATTGAACTTGATTCTGTTACCAACAGTAAATTCTTCAGCAAATTACTTCACCTATCTAAGCCTTATGGGTATTAATCCATCACATGAGAGAGTTGGAGAAGTTGACCTCTGAGGTTCTTTCTATGGCCAGAATTCTATAATCCTGACTGTTTTTACATATACCCTTCTATGTACCTAAAATAATTTCTATTACCCCTTCCACGTCTTTGCCTCCCATGCCTAACATGTTTTATCTTGTCTCTGAGCCATTTGTATTCTTTCACTTAAGGTTTATTTCCCTTTTTGTTCTGATAACACATCAAGAAAAGTCTTGGTTCTCCATTAAGAAACTTATATCCATACTCCAGTATAATACATGTGTACTTCCCAAGAACATAGCCAAAAAGAAGAAAATACCAGGCTTAGGTCTTCTTTCATTAAAAGGTCTCTCAACTCAAGAAATATTTCTTGTTAGTCATTCGTTGTTCTTTTAAATCATTCAAAGGCTGCTTACAACACCCAGAATTCCATCCATTCCTTGAAAATATTCCCTCAAAGAGGGTTTCCAATATTAATGAAAGAACCTTTGTCCTCTGAGGAATTTGAAATCACACCATGCTTTATGGTTAGTCACCAAAGGATTTTGATATGTTAGCAAAGGCCAGTTACAGTGGTAGTGCTTTAATTGCCCTCATGAGGCCATATGTGTTGAAATACTGTTGTCTTTGAACTGCAGCATTTTATATGCCTTCATAACACGTCCAAATATATATTTTGGGTATCCCAAAAGTCTTTGTTCAAGTTTAAGCTTTAATAGTTATATATGTGGTTGTATACATATGTACATGCATGCATATGTACACATACCATATATGGGTGTTTATATATTATGTGTATGTGTATGTATATACATATTAGCCTCCCATTTATGAAGACAATCAGAAAGCTCAAATGAGCTGTGTTTCACACTACCCCATTCTGGTTATAGATCCAGGGCATAATTGAGGAGGAGACTTGTCTCTAGTGGTGGTATGAGAGAGCAGTTGTGGTTACATTTCCCAGTTTTGTCCTTAGAGAAGTGAGTGCAGAAGCAAACTGTAGGTGTGTGTGTCTGATCCCAGAAGCAGATCAGGGACTCAATTCTAGTCTCTAGGCCCAGGCTGAAGCTTATAGTAGAATAATCAGGCAGGAATTCCATACCAAAGGGGAGCAAAACTGGATAATGCTATAGGGGAAAAAATCATGATTCAAAAAAAGCCTTAGAGGTCCACCACTCTATTTCTTAGCCAGTACTAAATTGTTTTTGATAATTAATGCTTTATAATACAGTTTGAGATCTGGTGCAGCTCCACCATCTTCCTTCACGTTTTTTTTCATTGGTTCCCTTGATATCCTTGATCTTTTGTTCTCCCAGATGAATTTTGTGAATATTTTTTTCTAGCTCTATAAAATTTTTTTTGTAGTTTGATTGGTATTTCTGTCTTAGGGAGAGGGAAGGGAGGGAGGGAAGGAAGGATTGAAAAACCTAAATGCTAAAAATTGTTTTAACATGTAATTGAGTGAAAAATAAAATATTATTAAAAAAGCACTCTGGAAGGTTGTCTCCAGAGAAAAGATGAGAAAAAAGATGCAAATATTGGGGTAGGTCTCAGCTGTGTATCATTTCAATCTGTTATTTCAGATAACAGGTTTTTCCAGATGAAGAATGTAGAAAAACTGATGTTTATGTTGTTAGGCCTTTCCCCCCTATATATTTCTCTTTCACCTTCTCAGAGAGCTATCCCAGATAATAAAGGGAAATTTTTTTTCAAGAAGTAAAAAGAGGAAGAGGAAGAAAAAAATCATTAAAATCAGTCAACACATAGAAAAAATCTGACATTGTATTTGCATGCCCTGACCTTTGCAGAGGAGCAGGAGAAGATATCTTTTCATGTTTCTTCTTGACCAAGCTTATTCTTTACAATTTTGTGACATTCCATTTCAGTTGTTTTGGAATGGTCCTTTTCACTAGCATTGTTGTAGCCATGTATTTTCCTGACTCTGCTTACTTCACTTAGCACTACTTCATGTAAGTCTTTTCCTGCTTCTCTGCCTTCATCACACTTGTCATTTCTTACATCACATTAATATTCTATTACATTCTTGTGCCACAGTTTGTTTAGCCGTCCTCCAAAAGGTGGACATCTGTTTTGTTTCCCATTCTTTGCTACCACAAAAAAAAAAGTGCTGTTGTAAATATTTTGGTGTTTGTGTAGGTGCCCATACTTCTTTAAGATTTGGTATGGAAGTAGTGATGTTTTGCGGTTACATCTAAGGAAATAATGACTCTGGCACTGCTAGCCCCAAATGGCAGAGTTTTTCTATATCATTTTAAATGAAGTGCTGGAAAGTCACTATGATTGGGGCACAGTAAATCCCAGAAGCATAATTAACAAGAGGCAACTGGATCTTTGCCCCAAGTTACCAAAATTTAGATGGCATTTACAACACTTTATATTCTTTCAGCAGGTGTAAATAATTATGCTTAGCACCTGATCAGCAAAAATAGTTAAAATAGAACTCTACCAGAGAATGGTTTTCTTCACCCCTCTGCTGTGCTCCAGATGAACTCTTCCTTAGCTCATTAATGTTCTTTGGACTCTTCTGTAAGCCTCCTTAGTGGTGGCCTTGGGTGTCCTGGGAATTCCACAGGTCTGGTATCCAAGGATCTCTGTCTGTTCCCACCCTCTAACTCTGACACAGGGCAGTGGCTTGAGATCTTTCCCCTGATGGGCCCTTGTGTCCTGAGGGCCCTTTCTAACTTTCAAATGAATTTATTATTAAAATTTGATTTTAGAATGCCTGTCATGCTATTAACCCCTTCATCCCTGCCCCGTGAATTTTGTGACATTTACCCTTGGTGCCAGAATTGTTAATTATGACTGGGAACTAGGAGAATATTCAGTTGTGCATACCACAAACCTCTAATTGGTTTCTTAACTGATCTCCCAGCTTGGAGTCTGTACTTTCTCCAACTTAACCTTCACATAGTTGCCACTCATTTTCCTAAAATCACAGGCTGACTGGCCATGTTAATCTTGTGTTCTGTAAACTTCTGTGGTTCCCCATTATCTGCAGGATCGAATACAAACTCTTCTGTTTAGCTTTGAAAGCCCTTTACTGCTTAGCCTCAATCCATTTGTTTAGCCTTTTATTACATATTATTCACCTTCATGAATGCTATACTGAAGCCAAACTGGCTTTTTTGCTGTTCCTAACATAACACTTCTGTCTCCCATCCTTGCTTTTGTGCTGATTGGCTATCCCCTATACCGATAATGTACTCCCCCCTTGCCTCTACCTCTTAGAATCCATTTTTCCTCCAAAATTCTCCTTAGGCAACAGTTTCTGCATGAAGACTTTGTTGACCCTTCTTTTCCCCCAGTTGTCGTGTTCTTCCCCCTAAATTACTTTCTATTTATTTTGTTTATACCTATATAAATATAAAATTTATAAATATATGAATATGAAATTTATAAACGTATAAATATATATGAGTACATGTTGTTTCCCCCTATAGAATATAACTTGAGGTCAGAAATTGTTTTAATTTCTAGTAGTTTCCATGGTGCCTGGCTTATAATGGATGTTAAATGCTTATTGATTGATTATTATTTTATACTCATGTTTTTGAATATATGGCTAGGTTCATGCAGAGATAAAGAGGGAAATGATTATTGGATTGTGATCTTGGTTCCTAAAATAAAACAATAGCTTCTTCTAAACTACTTGTAATTAATTACTGGTTATCTTCTATCTAGACCGTGACAATAGAATTTGCTTTCGTAGTAGAATTATAGAATGTTAGACTTGGAAGGGACCTTAGATCTTCTAGGCCAGCCTCTTCAATTTATAATTCAATCAGTTAGTCAATAAGTTCATTAGGCTCCCATTATGTGCTAGATGTAACGGAACTCTTAAAGACATTATTATTATTATCGGAGTGACATAGTTATTCAAGTCAAAAGAAAAATCATTTAAGTTGATTATTTGGCATTTTACAGATAAAAACAATGGTTTAGTTCACTGCAAAGATGCTCTTCAAGATTGTGTTCATAGAATAAGTTAATACAGGGTGTCCCAAAACTCTTAGTGCAGTGTAAAACTATTAAAGTTGAAAACTCCACTAAAATTTTTTGATGTCTTGTATGTGTTAAAATGCTTGTCTTCACTGATAAGTAATATAGAAATTTAAGCTTAGTAATATGTTTTGGTTTTCAGTCGGATATAGATAATGTAGTTTAGAATAGCATAGGATCTTAGTGCTAGGAAAAATCTTATCATGTTATGGTCTAGCTGCCTAATGTTATAGATGATAAAACTGATGTAGATTAAGGACTTGTTCACCATTTTATAGTTGTTTGTAGACAGACTCAAAGTACTTAGTTATCAGTCTTTCTTTTTACACTTAGATGTAGCAGGACAGCGTTCATTGAAACTTTGGTATTAGGCTAGTATCACATTGGGAAGTGTATACTATGTATGATAGCCAAGTCATAGTGCTATTTTTTCTTTCAATATCACTAAAAATGGAATTTTGTGTATTGGTTTTAAAATGTTATTTTCTAGAAAAATGTTTTTCATATAAAACAAAAAACATGAATGACTACCTAAATAGCTGTTTCATTCAACTCATTGACATTCAGTATTGTCTTCACATTGACCCAACAGCTACTTTATAGACAGTTAGCTTTTTAAATAATTGTTTCTTTGCCTTTTACAAATATAAGAAAGAGAATTTATTGTCACACAGATAAAATTTATTATAATACAAATCAGATATTACTTTTAACTTAACCAGAAATAGAAAATAATTTTTCAGACTACCCTTTTTGTGTTACAGGAAATAAATGTCTACTTTTATAAATCATGGCATAATTGATAGATAAAATATTTTTGTGCTTTTTTTTCTTTAGAGGCAGCTAAGAGAACATTTCAAGAAAAGGGCATCTTGGCAGGAGAAAACAGACGTTTCAAACCTCATTTGACCTTCATGAAACTGTCAAAATCACCAGAGCTCAGAAGAAAGGTGAGTTTATATTTTTTAAATAGTATTTTTTCCCCAATTCCACGTCAAGACAATTTTTAGCATTCATTTTTACAAGATTTTGAGTTCCAAATTTTTCTCCCTCCTAACCTCCCCTCCCCTCTTCCTAAAATGGCAGGCAATCATGTAAAACATATTTCCATGCTAGTCACAGTTGTGAAAGAAAAAACAGATCAAAAGAAAAAAAAACACAAAAAAGAATAAAGTGAAAAAAGTATGCTTCAGTTTGCGTTCAGATTCCATTAGTTGTTTATCTGGATATGGATAGCATTTTCCTTCCCCAGTCCTTTGAAATTGTCTTGGATCATTGTGTTGCTGAGAAGAGGTGTCTCTTTCATAGTTGATCATTACACAGTGTTGCTGATACTGTGTGCAGTGTTTTGCTGGTTCTCCTCACTTCACTTTGCGTCGGTTTGTACAGGTCTTTACAGGTTTTTTTTTCTGAAATCTGCTTGTTCATCATTTCTTACTGCACAATAGTATTCCATTACGTTTCCTCAATTGATGGGCATCTCCTCAATTTCCAGTATCTTGCAACCACAAAAAAGGGCTGCTACAAGTATTTTTGCACATGGAGGTCCTTTTCCCTTTTTTATAATCTCTTTGGAATATGCAAGAATATGCAAAGTTTTATAGCCCTTTGGGCGTAGTTCTAAATTGCTCTCCAAAATGATTGGATCAGTTCACAGTTCCACCAACAGCGCATTAGTGTCCCAATTTTCCTACATCCTTTCTAGCTTTTATCATTTTCCTGTCATATTAGCCAATCTGATAGGTGTGAGGTGGTACTTCAGAGTTGTTTTAATTTGCATTTCTCTAATCAGTAGTGATTTAGAGCACTTCTTCATATGCCTATTAAATGGCTTTGATTTCTTCAGTGAATTTTTATATTTCCTTTTCCGTTTGGCCAATTCTACTTTAAGTAGTTATTTTCTTTTTCTAAGCTGTTGATTCTTTTTTCATAATTCTCTTGCATCACTCTCTTTTCCCAATTTTTCTTCTGTCTTATATGATTTTTAAGCTCCTTTTTGAGTGCTTCCATGAGTTCTTTCTGGGCTTGAGACCGCTTCCCATTTTCCTTTGGGTTTTCCCATAGGTGTTTTGACATTGTTGTCCTCTTCTGAGTTTGTGTCTTGATCTTCCCTGTCATTATAATGTTCTATGGCCAGATTCTTTTTTTGTCTTTTTTTGCTTACCTTTTTTGGCCTTTTTCCTTTCTTTTAAATTTGAGCTCTGCTCCTGGGATGGAAGGGGCACTGCCACAGGCTTTTTGTGTCAGGGGCTGCAGGTCCTGGCTGTTCACCTGGCACTTCACTGACGTTGCCTTAAGGCCCCCGGGGAACCCTCCTGTCCACTGAGGGGTGGGGTGGGGTGGGGTGTTGCTGGCGCTGCTGGAGGCTGTAGGGGTCTGGAAGCTCACCTGGTACTGAGCCAGGGTCCTAGTGGAATTGTCTGGTGTGCGGTAAGACCAGTGGGGTATTTCTGTGTTTCCTGGGTGCTACATTGAAGCCTGTGGCAGTCTGGCCACTGGCAGCTGCTTGTTTGCCCCCAGGCTACACTGAAACACTTATTAAGGGTCTGGCTGCCTGTTTGCTTAGGCACAACTGGGGCTGGGTCTACCTGTTTGCCTGAGGCTACAGTGAAGCATCTGGAGGCTGGCTGCTGAAGGTTGCTTGGTTGTCTGGGGCCATGTTGAAGTATATGGCACTTCTCAGACCTGGAGGCTGCCCATTTCCTTGGCTGTGTTGAGGCACATGCATTTGCCTGCTCCACTGCACTGGGGCTCAGGCTCTATTGCTGGTTTGCTGAGGTGGGGCTTGCTGCTGGCTTGCTGGAATGCTTCCTGTCCTGGACTGTACTCCCCTTTTACCTGAGTGAGACAGACCTTTCTTGCTGATCTTCTAAGTTTCTTGGACAAGAAGATTGTTTCATCCATTTTTTTTTTTTTGCTGGTTCTGCTGTTCTAGCATTTGTTTTGGGGCACTATTTTATGGTTGGTTGGAGGTGAATATGTGAGAATTATGGAGATTTACTGCTTATTTCACCTTCTTGGCTCCTGGAAGTTCTACTGAGTTTGTATTTTTTTAAATGACAAATTCTTAGCTCTGCAAATGAGGAACATTTGTCCTAGTAAGGATATTTTGATGCAACTTTCAGCCTGATACCTTTGGGTTCAGAGGGGTTTTGTGAATACAGATTATAAATAATAAATTTAAGATTATTCATTTTATGTAAGCCCTTTTTGAATATCCTAAAAATATAGCCTTACATAATGTTTCTTCATAAGAATGAAATAATTCAGTTATTTTTAAAGGTTACTATTTAGAATGGCATGCAATAGAAATACTCTTCTAGAATAGTAGACTATAGAAAATTATTTGTCTAACATATAGTATTGTATAATCTAGAATGTTTTATTAAAGCATATTTGTAGATTACGTCTTTGTTCGTTATCCTTTTCATTTTGCTTTCAATTGGATTATCCTCTTTCTACTTTTCTTAAAATTCATCCCAGAATGACAAATAAATGGTGTCAGTGACATCTTCCGTTTAAGATTTTTTTTTGTGTTTGTGATATTTTATTTGAAGTGAAATAGCCCTTTGGAGACATTTGTCAATAGTACATCTCCTAGAAGATCTCTAGAATCCATAACCTAGCATTTAAAATTGCATGTTCATTTAGCAAGCAGCTGTCTTTATGTTCACATCAGCAATTCTTACTGGGGCAAAAATCTTATTGGAGTCAGTCTGGAATTTGTATGTTGAGAATTTTAGATTCTTTATCAAAGAAAGTAATTCTTTATCAAAGACATTTTTCTGTTATCATGATTTAAAATTCCAGGTAACAACACTTCCTTTAAAAAATGCACGTTTAACTAGTTTTGCCCTGTTTTGCTATCTCCTTTTTCCCATGAAATATACTTAAAATTTTTAGGAATACAGCATTTTGAAAGGACTTAATCATCTGTCTTTTGGGAAAGTATATCATTGGCATCATGAAAATGTAAACTCATTTAACTAGATAAATCTGTGATAGCATCTGTATGGGTATTCTTTCCTAGGTGCATATTACAACCCTTCCACGCTTTCCTAACGTACATGTTTTTTGTCCATGTCCTTATATGGATCTTCCATAGAGGGTTCACTTCATCGCACTAGGGGCCTTCTTCAGGATCTTTTAATAATTCTAAATTAGTAGTTCTTAATCTGAGGCCTGTAAGCTTGTTTTATTTAAAAAAATATTTTGGTAACTCTATTTCAGCATTAGTTTCTTTTGCAGTCTTATGTATTTTATTTTACTCATTTAAGAACAGTTTTCTGAGAAGGGATCTATGGACTTTACCATACTATCAAAGGGATAAAAGATAAAGAACCTCTGCTTTAGGTCAGTACATAAAGGATGTATCATTTTGTTAGTATGAAAACCCCCTCCATGTAAACAGATTGGAACCTGTCTATAGCTTACTTTGTCTAAAACTATACTTTGTTAGAGAGTTATTTGAGCCTTAGAATTGAGGGCAAGACCTGAACCTTGGTGCTCCTAACTCAAATCCTTTGTGGCATGCTGCTTTTTCAATATCTTTTAAGTACCATTTGTAGATAGTGCCACATGCATGCTTCTAGTGGCCTAGGACCCTTAAAGCCTGGGGCTCACAGAGATCAAGTCTAGTCTTAGGGGCTGAACCAAAAAAATCAAATCATTGTCTGTACCTGGACTTTACTTTGGAAAATTTCTAAATATAGCTTATATATAGCTAAATATTTAAGTTTCTTCAGTGTAGGTAACAAGGTTTTCAGCTTTCCAGTATAAACACTCAATGTAAAAAAATAGTTTCAGGAAAGGACGGTCTTGATTTTTCCTCAGAAGGTATGGACTCACAGGAGTCCGTAAACGTATATAGAAAACACATAAAGCTTTCAAAATAGCCCAAAAGCTGCCCTTGAAAGGGAACTGAATCAGAGAGTGTTAGTGGAACACACTTTTATATTCCTATGAGTATAGGTCTTCTGTTATCCCATGTCATGTCTTGGGGTCCTTTCCAGGGTCTTTGAGGGGTAGTCTTTGCCTTTTTTGAAGAAGAACGCTGCTCAGGAATTCCCCTTCTCATGCTAGAAGGCCAGGGCCCTCCACTCTGGAACTTGAGATTATTAGTGAGTCAATCTCCAAGGCTAGTGTTAAGAAATTGTCTTTGTTTAGAATGCTAGATTCTAGTAATTTAGCTAATAACAAATATATGTTTTATTCTCACAATATTAAGCTGTTTTAATTATATATAGATAAATACAATTTTAAAGCTGAAGGGGAATTTTGTTGTTATTTGTCCTTCATTTTTAAGACCACTGATATCACATTGTAATGTCTTTTCCTTGGCATTTTCAGTGCTTGATGCATTGGCAGGTCTGAGGCCTATCAGTTAGTTCAGTCTAGTTTAGTTTGTCTGCCAAGATGGTTTATTGAGGTGTGGCTGTTGCACAAGCTACAGCTTGTGGGAGCCACAGGTAAGAGTTGGGTAAAAATGGACACCAAAGATGGATGAGCAGCCTTGAAGGTGGCTCAGCAGCCCTCACATCAGAGGTGCTAGTCCTTCCTCAACACCCTATACACCTGATGAAGTTGAACATAATATTGCAGAGGGCTGAGAAGTGAGTGATAGGGGAAGAAGCAGAAGCAAGGAGAGGAGTTTGGCTGATAAAGGTAGGACAGTAATGGTAGTAAGACCTAATGAAGGTTTTTTTTAAGGCTAGGAAAGACTTGGGCATGTTTGAAAGCCACAGGAAGGGAACCAGTAGATAGGAACAGGTGAAGATTAGGAAGAGGAATATTGATTGAAGTTTCAATCTGCTGGAGAAAAAGAAAGGGGATTTCCGGTTTCACTAGCACATGTAGAGGGGTTAACTTTGGCAAGAAAGAAGGGCTACTTCATTAGAGAGGGAGAACTTAGAAGAACATTAGGGGGATGTCTACCCCAAGCATGGGTGGA